ATGCCACTTGTCGATCTTCTCTGGACAGTGAAAAGTTAAGTTCGGTGTGCCAACTGATATTGCGATATCCAGCAGACAGCTTACCACGAGCAAGACTTTAGCTGCACATTCTGAGTAGCGGCATCTGTATATCTGCATCTGTACATCTCTAGCTGTCATTGTGGGATACACTGCCCCTCCAATCAGAGTTGAACCTCTGAAGAAGCAACAACTCTAATGTAGCTAAATTTACTTATTCTTCCACATCCAGTTGTGAAGCTCCTAATTGAAAGCTGAAACATAAAAAAGAACAACTGGCTATTCCGAATCAGGTGCATATAACAAAAACTTGGACATTCTAAATTTATAAACAAAAATAATACAGAGATTGGAACAGCACTTATTATAACAGCTTTTCTGTCAACACATATAGACTACAAAGTTCATGGAAGAAAGACATTTAGCTTTCTCTCCAGGTCCTTTGTTTAAAATCTCATTGGCATGTTTTCCATCTCAATTTCCCATGGGACTGTGTGTATGGCTACACACCATGCCAGAAACTATATCAGGACTCATTAAACAGAAAAATAAGATTTTGACAAGAACAAGATTTGACTTGCTCTTAAAACTGGTTTCAAATACTTCACACAATGTAGTACTTTTAAGAAGAAAAAATAAATTTGTGACTCACCTTTTTCTGAATGTACTGTATCTCACATTTATTAAAACAAAAAAAGAAGTAACTTGTCCTATAGCCCCACTGTCTAAAAATACAGTAGATTAAATAAACAACAAAATAGCAGGCAGTCACTTGGCCAGTTAAGATTAGATTACCAATTAGGCAGCATTTCAGCAGAATTCTGTCAGGGAAATCTACCCATGAATTGGGTGGAGACATCAGCGAATGCAGATGTCTGAACAAAGAACTTCATGTCCTTTAGAATTTGCTCAGTTCCTTAGATTTGACTGAAGAATCAAATCTAAAAGTTCAGAAAGTGTCCAAGTATGCTTCTTATTCTGATACCTGTCAGATTCATTTTTAAGCCATTTTAAAGAGAATGATATTACCTTTTAAAAGTTAAGGTTTCACTCATTTACAATGTCCCATCAAGAATAATAAAACAAAAGAAGTTCGGAGCTCTCTTCTCTACAGCCTGCATTACTAACACATTGAAAGCTATGGAATTACTGTACATTGTATCAACCAGTTCACAAGGAAAACACAATCTTGAAGTACTTGTTTGTGTATATTCCTAATGATCTTTCACGTTTTTCAAATCTTGCTGGCACTGTTCAGTACTAAAAGAAAAAAAAATTCAGCCACTTAAAAACAGGTCATTTTGCTGTGATTTAAAAGTGTTAAAAAGACAGCTTTCTGTCAATTACAGAACTCTCCAGCCTTTCCCCCCTACAATTCTTACAGAGGCACAAAATATACATTCTAACTTGAATACCACTGATTACTGTCAGGGTATTAAAGGTAGTAACAGGGTATCTAAAAAAACTAAAACATCATATTTTGGTTTTCATCAGCCAGTTTCAGAATGTTTTTTCGTGTACAGATGCAGGCACTCAGAATGTTTGGGGTGCCTTAACGCAAAGAACATGAAGCAGTATGTCTAAAGTTACTGCCACCATCTTTTTTTCAAATAATCTAATGCAGGACTGCATTGCTCTGTGAAACTGCAAGGTGGTGCAGTGAATCCTTAATGTACCATGTGTCTAACATACAGAAAGTCTTCTTTTAAACATAAAAATTTGTATTAACCCATTAATGTTTCCCTGTGCTACTCATACTGTTCAGTTACACTTACAGAATTGTGTTTTTTAATGAAATACAGTATAACAAAATTCCTAGTAATTGTGAATAAAAAGTAATAAGAAATTTTTATTTTAGGTATTTTAGGTAAAGTATTATGCAAAGTAGCTTTAAAAATATCGCATTTAAAAGCAAACACATAAAAAACAAAAATCAGTAGTCTTGAATGACTCATTAAATGACTTATGGTCATGTACTATAACCTTGTCAGTGTGAGAGGCAATGGTGGTTAAAAGGAAGAATTCTTGGCTGCCACATGAATTGCCTGGGTCGGATTTCTGGCCAATGTCCAGCTTCTTGGGGATAATCGTTCTCCAAAGATCAAATTTAATTTGTACACTATATAAACATTTTGATTAATTTTATATGTCACAGTATGTTAAATATTAAATTAATATTAAAAATAAAAGTAGGGATGTTTTACAAGCCAACATTATGCAGCAATTTATATAAAAAAATGTATTGTATAGCTTGTTGTGGACACAATCTGTTTTCTTCAAGTTTACGTACCATTAAAATAATCTAGATTTTGTCTTAAGCAATTAGGAAACAGATAATGTTGTTACATTTTGATTATAAAAAATATATTATACACATACTGTAGTGGCTCTATCATACTATTTTTAAAAGCAAATAAACACACAGTACAGTAAAAAGAACAACAGAGTTTGGTTCTCCATCACCACTAAGCTCCATGAAGTTGCGCCTCCTACAACAATACAAACAATGAAACCAACCACATGCGTTAGTACTCCATTTGTGCTGGTTTGTAGCGTTAAAAGTAGCAAGAAGAAGAATTCACTGAGCCACCCTGTAACAGCTAGTGCTGGGTTTTTCACTCTGAAGATATAGCACTTTCTATTTGGGTAATCACATGATTGTCTATATAAGGAAGTTTACAGTTAGTAATGCGCTAATAGATCATGTACTTACTTTTAATTACTTGTGGATTTCAACACCTACAATTTGCTATCTCAGTCTGTCCAGTGTGGAGTGGGGTGGATATTTAGATTTGAATACATTGCTGTTTTAGCCTTAAGAAGGGGAGCATTAGCAAACAAATACATTTTCTTAAAAAAAAGCTTTAACTAGCATAATATTTTACACACCTGAAGAAGGCTCCATTTTTTTCAGCATGTAATAAACCTATTACTTGTTCCTTTGCAGCCTACGCATGCTGACGCAGCTACCCACCTATAATATTTTATACTTGTGTCAATATATTTTTAAAACTAAAGAAGTAACCAAAGGTGTTTTTTCATTGTATCTTTTTTAAATAAATAGGCAATTCAAAGACACTTAAAGATTCAACCTATCTTTCAAGCTACATATTCAAAAAGGTTCAAATGAGCAACGACTTGCATTAACAGAACATTGCTATATTATTTTATGCAAAGCAAAAACACAAACATTGAAAAGTATAAGCAAATTAGATTATATGGCATTTTTGTTATAGGCACTATGTAACAAATATTATATATTTGATAATAATATATATTACTGCAAAGAGTAGGGGTGATACCCCAGCATCCTGACCAAAATTCCCTTTACCAGTCATGGTCTCCTAATAATCCCCATTTATGAATTGGCTTCATCTCCGTTTTCCTCCCCACTGAGAGCCAATGTGTAGTAAGTGTACTGGCACACTATGGCTGCTGTTGCAAATTGGTGGTTGTGGAGAGGTGTCCCCACTACCTGTAAAGTGCCCTGAGCGTGTCCAGAAAAGCGCTATATACGTCTAAGGAATTAATTTAATAATAATAATGGTGGTGGTGGCAGTGTTGTAAATATGTATATTTACCAAGTTAACCTAAGTAATTAATCACAAATGTGAAAAACAAAATTGGAAACACTACCATATCACACGTACAGACTTCAGTAATATTCTAAAATAATTTTGTTTACTTAACAAATTTCGAAGATAATATTTTCAGTATTGTATTTGAATTGGAATGTTTTATCTAATCACTTTATTTTCATTTCATTTTCTAATCACTTAATCCAGTGAAGGTTCATGTAGGAGCCAGAGCCTATTCCAGCAGGCAACTGGTGCAAGGCCGGGTACACCCTGGATGGGACACTAGTCCTTCGCCGCATAGACACTAACATCAGGGTAAATTGTCCCAGAAGCCAATTAACACTGTGAGCACCTAGAGGAAACCCATGTAAACATGGGAGAACAGTAAACTCCATGCAGATAGCACCCCAGGAATCAAGCTAAAAATGCCACTTTTTTAAAGATTGTTGGTCTAACAAGTAGCAGTGGTTTGTGCTCCCCTCTTTTGGCATGTTTGAAATCTCTGCCTTACTGTGGTTCATTAATGCTATTCATTTATTATTATTATTATTATTATTATTATTATTATAATTGTTGTTAATATAGTCTTTGATATATAAAATAGTAAACATTCAATATAGCATCTATATCTTTTATTATATTTTTTTATTAGAGAAAGAGTTTATCTGTTAAAAGTACAACTCATGCATTGGCCAGATATCAAACCCCGAGCTTCCAGGTGGCAATATGAGAATTCTACCACTGAAGTAAAACGTCACTTAATTTGGAAGCAATAATTTAAAAACTACAAGCTTTACATTTTCTATTTTCTACAAAAGTTTCAATGAAACTGCAAGCCTTTCATTTCCCATTGCAGAAACAACAGCAAAATGCAGTTATAATAAGTACATCAAAACTTTTACAAAATAACCACAACAAAAGACAGAGTTAAAGAATTCAATGCAGATATTTATGAAGAAAGTGAAATACTGTTCCGTTTCTTATTTTTAATTTTTATATTACCACTACCAGCTATATACATATATTTATATTTACAAAATAATATAGGTTATGACGCTCAGAAACCTATTTTTATTTTCATTTATCAAAATTTCCCTTTAGTTACATTATTCCATAATAATATTGAATATTAGGTGGATTCAAGTAGTAAAACAGATTTAATTAATCTAATGTTTTCACTAATATCGAACACACCACAAGTGCCTCCTGTCCATATTCTTTGGCAAGTGAAGATTCTTTGTGCAGTGTGATGAATTTCACTGCAACACACCACAGTCACCGGCTATAAGTTTTGATGAGTGGCTGCATCAGTAATGCCTGCTGTAATGACTTTTCTCTTCTGCATGAAGTCAGATCTGTATGGGAGTGTCTCAATTGCGGGTGGAGAGGCTGGGTCTCTCTTACCTGGGGGAGTACATGTTTCCACAGAGGACTGGACTAGAACAGAGCGTCTCTTGGAGGGCATTGGCATTTTTCTCTCTTTGTACTTGGCCAGAGCTGCTTGAACGGCTTCCGTGTGCACATCTGGTAGGACAGAGCAAAAGTCCCGCATTCATCTCTTTAGTAACAAAGTGTGAAATCAAAATTGACATTTGAAAATGACCAAATCTGACCAACCTTGGATTTTTAACTAATTACTGTGTATTGAAATTAGGTCTTTAAATGTGCTAACTACTATATAATCAACATATTTAGATTTTAAACTTTGAAAATATATTACATTACATAGATTTTGTTGTTTCTGCAGGTATTTTCACATACAGATAGTTCAGATATAGGCACAAGGCAAATACACACCTGAAAAATGCCATATAAGTGAAAAACAGGGGATGACATGAGGGCTAACATGAGGGCTGAACTCCCAGATATAAACAATTGCAAACATGTATTAATGTAAGATGTTTACACAGGTATATTAATTTTTTTAAAATAATGTTTGTTAATATTTAGCATTTCATGCAAAATGGGCATATTTGGACTCCACATCAACCTTCAGTCCTTCATCTCTCAATGAGCCTCTTAAATGCCATTTATGTTAAAGTCTCTTTAACGTATGTTAAAGTATTGAAGAACAATACAAATATAACTTCACTAATTAGGATTTTAGCCAGTTATTAACTGTCAAAGGTTTGTTTTATTAACCGAATGTTAAGGTTGACATTTTTTGTGGTTATTTTTTAAATTATGACTTTAACAATGTATTGTTTACAAATATTTTGCACTGAATTATTAAGATTTTTTCATGCATTTGTTTAATTTGCAGAGATGATGGGGAGCTGCTTGTGTGTCACTAAAGTGAACTGAGTCATCCACTGCATGCAAATGAGTACCCACTTGTACATCAAACACACTCGGACATATGCCTGTTACTGGCGGCACCCAAGGACACTTAAGTGAGAACTAACTATTCCTATTGCCCTAAAAGTAATACAGTAAAACTAAAAATACACAGACTTAGAGCACATAAATCCAAAATACCTGCATGCTAAGCCATTCTTTAAAAGCTACTGAAACATCAGCTCAATTGGTTAAACACTTTTTTAACTATCATTAGCGTTACGATCCTCCAATAAGAATGTAAATTTACACACAACTACAGAGAGGCTGACACATTATTGTCCAATAAGTAATTGATAACAGTACCAAACATGTAAAAGCTTCAAATACAGTTTTAAATTTCCCATTCTGTAAGTATCCTACATTATAATGTGTTCCACCAGTTCCCCATCAACAAGAACACACAGGGATTCCATACCAGATCGAAAGCGCTCATCCCGTGAATTGTTGGAACGTGATTTATGCTGTTTAGAGACAGCAGGAAGGGGCTGAGTAGACACCTGGACTCTGTTTTCAATCTGAAGTGATGGATCTACACCTGCAAGAAACAGATGAACAACATGGACTTCCCATTAAAATTGTTTTAAGTTTTCCAGTGTCCAGGCTCCCTCAAAAAATATGTACACGGACAAAGCAGAACTTAAAAGGGGTAGTTTTAACATAAATTATATCAAGATATTCAATGTAAGTCATTTTGGATCCTGCCAGTAATCTTGAAGATTTCTGCAGTTTCTGAACAGATAGTGATGAAGTGCCAATTTATAGGATTAATAGAAATGTTTTGTGAGCAGGTTTGAGTGACAGAATGATACTGGGAGAAGAGATAAGCACTCAAAATGAAAAAAATAAATGAAATAAAAATATTCACCTGCCAAGCAAGGAAAATAATTCTTTAAGGACACTAATGTTTGCAGGTTTTATCTTAATTTATCTTTACTTTATATTTATTTACCAATGCATAACTTCTATCCAGGTAATTTCAATCAAATTAACCGAATAATTTCCAGTTCTGAAACTGTCACATCCCAAGCTCAATCACTGTTCAAGACAAAAAAAACTTTTAAAGATATCTTTAGCTTAAATCTAAACTAAAGTGTTTCACAATTGAATCAGGAGCATTTTATATCTGTAACTTGCCATACAACTTCAAATGGGTCAGGGAAATCTAGTTCAGAAACTTTAGATTACATTGGATAATATTAAGCATGGTGAATAAATAAAAGGAACCAGAAAATGGGAATCCCATAGAGTGCAAATGAGAAAATAAGACACAAAGCAAAAACATCAAGTTTTGCATGGTAATATTGGTAAGATAAAAATTATCTACCAGAATAATGAGAGGCTGTCAGACACTGCTTAGCATAAGCACTATGTTAAACCTAAAGACACCACTCTTTTTGGGCAATCTGTGAATAATTCACTTTTTTAAAAAAAAAAATGGAAGATCAAAAGGGTATTCTATACATGTTCTAGTGCATGCAGCTCTTAAATTTACATTCTTATTGTCTTACAGTGTCCATACAGATTCAATTAGCTAAAGGAACATAAAGATGCACACTAAACATCCAGATGGATGCTGCACATTGGTGGTGGTGGAGGGGAGTCCCCATTACCAGTAAAGCGCTTTGAGTGGAGTTTCCAGAAAAGCGCTATATAAGTATAAGCAATAATTATTAATTATTATTATTATTAAACACAGATAACAGTTATAACCATTAACTCACATGTACAATAATAAGGCCCAGATTTATAGCAAACTAATTAAAATATTAGATACATGCAGATGCAGCCATTCAAAATGCACGGTAAAGCCCCATTCTGTGTGAAATTATCTGCAAAACAGTGTGGCATACAGCAGAACTAAAGTAGCTCAGCATAAAAATAAGAGGAGCATAACGTCTCTGAACGTCACAAATGATATTAATTTAGGAACATAAAAATATGATGTAAACTGTATATAACTAGTATTGGTGGTTTAAATAAAAAATACACACCAGTATTCCATTTTCTTCCTTAACATTTTAAGCATAAAGGTCTTTCATTCGGTTACATACTGTGGTTATTTTGAAAAACTTTTTATGTGCTCCTTCTGACGATTTTAAGTTTATATACTTCATAAAAAGTTATAATATTCTAACCATTTCTATGAATATTTGCACTCGTTATTGCAGTAAAAAAATGCATACTTTTTTCAAATTTGAATCATAGGGAATATAATATAGAATCGAGTATCTAAAGAAATTAATAATGATATAATTATATTCATATAGCTCAAATTATCACAGTAGTACACTTTCTTTGAAAATATCTGCATCAATTTGACTCATTCACCCGCGATTACTCGGAAACTTTTTGCCTGCCCTGTTCAGTTATAGCTCAAGTTGTCAAACGGGGTGTTGGTGTAATGGCTTAGGCCTGACTTGAATGCTAGAGGTAAGGGGTTCGGACCCAGCTCTAGCCATGTGTTTTCTTTTAACAAATAAACATTTCTTTGAAAAACTAAAATAGTAAATATTATCGACACTATATTGAATTTGTTGGTATTTCTAAATATCACAACACGTTCAGAGTTAAGTGAGTTGCGCTCGTTGTCGCAGTAAAAAACCTCATACTTTTTAGAATCCGCTAAATAGGGAACATAATATGGAATCACTTACCTTAAGAAATTAATAACGATTTTCAAGGACTAAATATATGCATTTATAAAGCTAGTAGTATTACTGTGATCCACTTTCTTTGTTAACACATTGTATTTTTAATTTGACTCATTCATGCATGATGAAGTATTATGTATACTATATTAACATGTTTTTGTATGTATATTATAACATATTCAATGTTAAGTTAAAATAAAATGAAATAAAAATGTGAATTAGCAAAGTGAATACTGTCAACTGTCCAACCGGTGTAATTCAAAACACTTTATTCAGTGGGGCAATTTAATAGACTCCCCAAGCCTTGAAACGAAATTGCATATATTGTAATTAGTATCGAGAATAACAAAGTGGAATTAAAAGTACCACTGAAGCTTTAATAATGTGTCTGGTCATTATTAACAGTATTATTTTAATAATAATAATAATTCCAAGCTTCTTATATCTTTTTCAGAGTCATTTTTTTCTTTGGTTTTCATAAGTTCTGCTTATAAAATACCTATTTATGAGACACCATGTTTCAGATGTCAATAATTTTGTGAACAAATGACACAGAGCCTGCAACCTACTAGATTAAAGATCGTGATTTGTGAAAAAATTCACAGGTTTTATTTAAACTAGTACCCGGATGCATTTTTAGAAACTTTAGTTTGAATAAAGCGAATCACAGGTGCAAGTGACTTCATAACGCGAGAAGACATTATGCTGTATTTTTTATGCATCAGTTGAAGCCATCTGAAGTCTCTCAAAAACATAAAAATGTACATAATATTGTGTGGCCCGATGGGCAACCGATTCTTTTAATTTTATGAAAATCAAACAATAACATGTGTGCCTCAATTAGATATTGCATGGTTTTAAAACCCATAAAAACAGGTTTAGTTAAAAACAAGAAATCCATTAAAAACAGGTGATTTTTCTTCCTCGTGATCATCTTAAAATCTTTGTGTAAGCTGTAAGTTTTTTTTTAATTTTTAATTAAACATCTTAAACACTTTAATTTTGTAAACACAACATGCATTTTGTTCAGATATATAATAATAATAAACTTGATTTTATATAGCGCCTTTAAAGTTGGCTTCTCAATGCGCTTTACAGGATGTAAGCAATAAAAACAATAAAAAGAAGAACACACAAGATAAAACACAATTACAATATATAGAGGAGACCGTGGATGGTGGTACTAAGAAAAGAAGAGGGGTGAAGAATGGAACTAGTTAAGTAATGGCTTTTCTGAAGATGAGGGTTTTGAGTCTGGATTTGAAGGAGTTTAGAAAAGGTGACTCTCTGATATCCTTGGGGAGAGAGCACCAGAGCTTGGGGGCATAACAGGAGAAGGCCCTGTCACCCATACAATGTAGACGGGCTTCGGGGACAGTAAGGAGAGCAGAATTAGAAGAGCGAAGGTTGCGAGGTGGGGAGTAGGGCGATAATAGTTCAGACAGGTACTGAGGTGCCAAGTCATGCAGAGCCTTGCCCAAGCCTCATGAGCATGAGGATTTTAAAGTCTACACAGAATTTCACCAGAAGCCAGTGCAAGGACTCCAGGATAGAAGTAATGTGAAAATTTGCACTAGACCTGGTCAGGATTCTGGCTGCTGAATTTTGGACATACTGCAGTTTGTTCAGAGTAGATTTAGATACCCCAGCGAGTAGAGCATTACAGTAGGCAATTCGAGAGAACACAAATGTGTTGATCAGCTTTTCAACCACAGTTAGTGATAGCATAGGGCATAGTCTAGGGTTACAGGATTGGCTTTATGAAGTTGATGGGGGGTGATGGGGGGAAATTTTGAGTCATCCAAATTTTTATGTCAGAGATGCAATTAGATAGAATAGAGACAGCCACATCAGTGTCAGGTTTGGTATGGATGTATATTTGACTATTGTCAGCGTAAAAATGAAATCAATATTACAATCACATTCTCCTGTCTTCCCGTGGTGTGAAACGAATTAGAAGGTGACTGAGAAAACAGTGCACTGCCCACTAAGAAAGAAAACACAACGTTTCGGCCGTGGATAAGAAGGCGGCTCCACAGCCGAAATGTTGTGTTTTCATTCTTCTCTTTTCAGCGTGGAATAAACCTATTACTTGTTCATTTGCAGCCTACGCATGCTAACGCAGCTACCCACCTGCACTAATAAGAAAAACATACGTGCTCTATACTGTTATACTGTACAGTGTATTAAAACTCTCTATGGTCACTACATTGCCCAATAAACCTCTTTCTTACAATTTCACGGGGGCAAGGTCACGTAGCTGATTCACAGCTGGATACAATTTTATCATGCAAAAATTCAGATATTTGTCAACGTATTTATTACAAGTATCCATCTCAGTAATCTCACTGTGTTAGTCTTACTGTACACCCCAATGCTCACTCAATGTTCACACTCCCGTTTCCCGCATTGTCACGTCGCACCAGGGGGGAAGGAAAAGTGCCCGCGGTAATTTTTTTTTCCAATGACAAAGTCGATTAAAACTCATTTAAAGGGGGTCTCGTGTTAACTCTGCTTAACAGAGCCGCTTGTAAGAGTAAGGTGACTTTCTGCTATCTAAACCATTTTTTACTACTCTTAAAGTCACGCAATGTTGGAGTTAGACAGGAACACGTCATTGTATCTTATTTTTGATTTCATTTTCTAATAATAAATATAAGGCTACCGGCAATCAAATATCCTGTTCTTTCTTAACACTAATTTTCCCATACTGTAGTTTTAAAACTTGAACAAAGATGTGCAACATGCAAACAGCGTGATGTTGTATAGTTTTAAAGCCACTACAGTACAGCTTGTGGGAAATATATTTATTTGTACTGCATCCAAGCTTAACTCGTTCAGAGCACCCGACAAACTCCAAGTTAAGAGGAATGTCAAAATATCT